CTCTCACCTAGATTACTTCAGTAGCCTCCTCATTGACCTCTTTATTTATAACCTTACAGTTTGTAGTCAACACAGTAACCAGAATATTCCTTTTAAAACATAAATGAGATTATATCACTTCTCTGCTCAAAATTGTCCAGGGGCTCACCATTTTACTCAGAGTCCTTATAGTGGCCTCCATGGCTCTCCATACGACCCCTCATTATCTCTCTAACGTTGTTTCCTACTGCTCTCTCACTTGCATACTAAATTGTAGCCACACTCACTTCCTTGTTCTTCGAACATGTGGACACATCTGCTTTAGGGCCTTGGCCCTGGCTATTCTCTCTGCCTGGAATACTCTTCCTGTAGGTAACTGCGTGGTTAATAATCACCTTTAGGGTTCTGTTCACATGTCACCTTCCATATGAGGCTTGTTCTCATTACCCTATTTAAAGTATTTCTTTTTGGGGCGCCTGGGTGGCTCCGTCAGTTAAGCATCTGCCATCGGCTAGGTCATGATCCCAGAGTCCTGGAATCGAGCCCCATATTGGGCTCCCTGCCGAGCAGGGAGTCTGCTTCTCCCTTTCTCTGTCCTCCCCCCGCCACTCGTGCACTACCCCTCACCTCTCTCTCTCTCTTTCTCTCAGATAAGTAAAATCTTAAAAAAAATAAAGTGTTTCTTTTTAAGATTTATTTATTATTATTTTCAAAGATCTTATTAGAGAGAGAGAGAGAGAGCTCCTGCGCATGCATGTGCCAGGGGGTGGGGTGCCCATCACAGGGCTCAGTCTCAGGACCTAAGCTGAAACCAAGAGTTGGTCCCGCTTAACCGACTGCACCATCCAGGCTCCTCACCCTATTTAAAGTTTTGCACAACCCCTCCCTTACATTTTTCTCTGGATTGCCCTTGCTCTGCTTTACTTTCTTTTTTTGCATAGCACTTATCTTTTTTTTTTTTTTTTAAGATTTTATTTATTTATTTGACAGAGAGAGACACAGTGAGAGCAGGATCACAAGCAGGGGGAGAGGGAGAGGGAGAAACAGGCTTCCTGCGGAGCAGGGAGCCCGATGCGGGGCTCGATCCCAGGACCCTGGGATCATGACCTGAGCCGAAGGCAGACGCTTAACGACTGAGCCACCCAGGCGCCCCAGCACTTACCATTTTTGACATAGAATATATTTTGCTTATGTTATGGTGTTTCTCATCTTTCTCTTTACTAAGCATGTGAATACCGCAAGGGGGGGATTTTTGTCTATTTTGCTACTTAATGTATATCAGGAGCCTTCAGTAGTGTCTGACATTAGTAGGCACTTTGTAAATATTTGTGAATAAATAAATGAAGCTTAAAGGACTAGAATTTTTGATGAGGTCAAAGAAGTAGTTGATTAAAAGTAAGGAAGTAGAAGTTAAGGATAGGAGTCTGTGGTCAGGAGTAGACTCTGGGAATACAGCCATAAACAAAGCAGTGAAAGAGCTCCTGTCCTTATGGAGCTTGCCTTCTGGCTGGGGAAATGCATAATAAACCATGCAAAATAAATAAAGTCTATATTATGTTTGATGGTTGTAACTGCTAAGGAAAAGGGAGAGTGACATTTTAGATAGGTTGGCCAGGAAGGTCTTGCTGAGAAGATGCCATTGGAGTGAAGATCTGAAGAAAGGGAGAGAAGGAACCATGAGGTTACAAGGGTAAGAATATTGCAAGCGGAGGGGTAATGCAGATAATGCTCACACTTGGCCTCAGAGTCTGTGGGATATGAAAAGAAATAGCCTTTAAGGAGAAGCATATTGTAGGTAGGTAGGCAAGGAGAGGGGTTAAAAGAGCGTTCTTTACTACCATATATATATATATATTTTTTTTTTTTAAGTAAGCTCTCCACCCAACGTTGGGCTTGAACTCAGTACCCCAAGATCAGGAGTTGCATGCTCTACCGACTGAGCCAGCCAGGCGCCCCTACACATTATATCTTTGTGTTTAGGAAGTCATTCAAGAACTGATGATGACATACAAAACATTCTTTAAAAACATTTTTAAAAGCTACTTTATATCATTACCTTTTGTGGACAGCAGAGGGAACCATTTTGCCAATTATCTAAATCTGGAGGTAGCTTGTTTTGAGATAAAACCCTTTCATTTATTTATGAAAAAGGAGCAGTTCCTTTGGTTTTTTAAAAATCAATGTATTTGTTTTCTTCCAGAGCTCTGTTAATATATGTTTGTATGGCTATACTGATGTAAGTAACTTTGGTAGAGTATTCATGAAATTTAGAAGAATTAATAAACAGTATGAACATCTTAGAGAATAAATTGCATTTTGTCCATAATCATTGTCTGTTTTTTTTTTACTTGTCAGCTAATAGTGTTATTGATGACATACTGTTACATTTGGGTTATCTTTTTAGATTAGAGTTTGAATCTTAAAAATTTTTTTTTTTTTAAAGATTTTATTTATTTATTTGAGAAAGAGAGAATGAGAGAGCACATGAGAGGGGGGAGGGTCAGAGGGAGAAGCAGGCTCCCCGCTGAGCAGGGAGCCTGATGCGGGACTCGATCCCCGGACTCCAGGATCATGACCTGAGCCGAAGGCAGTCGCTTAACCAATTGAGCCACCCAGGCGCCCATGAATCTTAAAATTTTCTTTCCTGCTCATTCCTGTCTTAATTCTATTTTGTAGCAGAAAATGTGTCTTGCCATTTGAATTTAGTTTGCTTTGCTACAGGAAGTCTTATTCTTATTTGGTTATATGATAGTGTAAGGTCCTAGGAACCTTATGTGTGCCTTGAATATTTCCTCCATTCTGTGAATGTGCAGCACAAGTTTATCAACTGCCAAAGTTTTCTTTTGTCAAATCCTCCTCCCTTTTCTCCTGCCATATGTAGTAACAATTAGTTGACCTTTAGCCCCTTCATGAAGTGGCAGTAAGTCTGCTTCTTACCAGCTACTTGTTTATCAAATAACTGTGATCTTTGATCAAGCTAACTTTTGCCCTCTGACTTTTGGGTGGTTTTTAAGAACCAAATTAAGATTATGTAATTAAAAGGACTTTGAAGACTAATAATTAAGGAACTTTAAGACTTCAAGGGTATAAAGGATATCACTGGAAAAGTAAGGACAGTGAGATGGGTTTAAAGGGGGCATTTTATTTTTATTTATTTATTTATTTATTTATTTA